CAGACCCTGTGGGGAACACAGGACAGATTTGAGAGCGTTTTAGCTGCAAGCGAGGGCTCCAGAAGGTGCTTCTTGATTCTGTTTTTGCTGCTTATTTAATCTGAACCTCGGTATTCTCCTCTGTAAAATGGGGATGATGAACATCCCTATACCTCATAGGCGAGGATTAAGTGAGCTAATCCATGGAGAGTACCTGGAGCAGTGCCTGGCACACAAGGAAGCCCTTTGCAAAAGCTAGTGACTATCATGTTACCACAACTCCTTGGGTACCTCTAAGAATTCCTAGAGCTGAAGGCCCATGGAGAGAAGATCTCAGGCACAAAAACACTCTGTGCCTTTAGGTTAACTTGGGCTTCCAGATTCCAGTCAATCTCTACATGCTCTTGCCCCATGAGATTTTCCTATCATTATCCTATCAAAAGCCTCATCTCCAACCATTCCTCTCTAGCAACAAGGGCCCACCTCTATGCCTTTCTCAAGCTCTCCCCTTGGCCTGGGATGCCTGACTCAGTGCTCATCACCACCACCTCCCACAACCCACTCTACTTGGATCACCCAAACTGGAAGCCCTTGTTCCCTCCTCTGAACTCCTGGAGAGCCACATGCTCATCTCACTGACCACTCCAGGTCCATGCCTATCTGCTTTGTGGATGTTCCTGGGGGGCAGTGGTGGTATCTGCCCAGGTTACTCGGCCCAGTCTCCAACACAGCCTGGCCTGGAGCCCTTGCGATGACCGAGTGCACTGCAGAGGACCCAAGGACCACTTCCTCCAGCACTGGCAAGGGTGCAACCTACCTCCAGGTGGGCAGGCGATCCTATAGGGAATAACTAGAGAATTCAACAGCACAGTGTACCACAGGAAGGACAAACAGGCCCTCTGTCCTCCAATAACAACAATCTCATGCAAAATTTGTTTTCCACATGGGCATCAGGATCACAGGCCCTATTTTACCATGACACCATGGCCCTCAGTGGGCTAAGCACCCTGACCCATCCAGGCACCCAAGTTGGCCTGATCAGGGTCCTGCAGCCTTCGTGCTGCATCAGCAGGATTTCATATATCTGGGGACCTTAAGCCTGGGATCAAGACCCAGGGAAGAGGGAAAGAAGGGGCTGTGAAGCAGCCTGATCACTGGTTCAACAGGAAGCATAGCCTGGGGATTCTAAATACAGAGACGCTGGGGCATGAAGGAAACCCACAAGCGCTCTGGTACTTTCTCTTTAAATTATACATGAGGAAACTGAGGCCCAGACGGGCAGCAGGCCATAGAAAAGTCCAAGACCAGAATTTGCTCTTGAGAGACAAGTCAAGGAAGATGAAAAGGGGAAACAGGACTGAACAATTAGCCAGGCCAGCACTGCAAAAGGAAGCTGCCAGCCCTACTCAGATCCCTCCTATTCAGAGTTGGTCTCAGGTGCTATCTTTGTGGGGCTGGTCCTGGGTGACTCATGACAGGCACTGTGCTTGAAAGGCAGGTCACAGTGAATCATTGCATCCTGGGAGCTCAGGGTTAATGCAGACCTCAGAAGTCGCTTGGGCCAGCCACCCATCTGAGACTCAACTCCCTTTCATGTCACTGCCCAACGCTGGTTGTCTTGCCTCTGCTTTGATACCTCTGGGGATAGGCAGTTCACTGGTTTACAAGACAGCTTCACATTTAATCAGTGGGTTTCTAAAAAAAATCTCAAAAGGATAACTTTTTTGAGCCTCAGTTTCCCTCTCTATAAAAAAAGAAAGCTTGGACCAGGTCACTAGCTCTCCAACTAGGTTCCACAGAGCTGCAGTGTTTAAGGAGACACCCCCAGCAATGCTGCTGGGCTGAGAGAGGCGATGGGGATGGCAAGTGAGGCCCAGACAACTGGGCTCAGAGGTTTGTGAAGGGCTGAGCATCCATCTTGGAAGCAGAACACACTTCCTGCAGGTGACGCAAACTGGAGCCTGTGGAGAGGATAAGCTGAGGCATTCAGAGGGCAGGGGTGAGAGGAGCCCCTGGGAGAAACAGGCAAACTTCCTCAGGCCTTCCATCCTAGCTGTAGCCCACAAGGCGGGGCCAATCTCCCCACCAGCTGCTGAATGGAGCCAAGGGACACAGAGGACAAAGACTCGTCAGTGAATCACTGCCCAAGATGGCTGTGCTGGGGAATCTGAAAACCAAACTGCAGTGCACCAGGGCTGGAGACGCCCTGGAAAGAAAGTCTCACATGATGGTTCAAACAGGCTAGGAAGTCAGCCCCACAACTGACTTACCAGCTGGGATGTCTTGGACTAGTTTTTAACCTCTCTGTGCCTTGGTTTCTCCATTGGTCAAGTGGGGCAGCCTATAGTCCAAAGGGGAATGGTGAGGACCCAGTTAAGAACTGACATCAAGTGCTGTAAGCAAGTACTCGAGAGTTGTTACCAGCTGCCTCCCTGTTGTTGTTATCACTGGCCCATCATTCCATACATAAATATGGGGGCACACAACGTGCTGCCCATCATCACACGGCCAGTTAGCAGCCCAAAGCAGCTAGAAGCACTAATGACTGCCTGCTCTGAGGCTACTGCTTTGTAGGGGAAAACTGAGGTCCCTGGGTCATTCACGTGGCAAATGACCATCCCAGATCTGTTTGACTCCCGCCCGGGCTCCTCCTGCACAGGTACGCCACCTGCGGCACACAGAGGGCACAGCCTTCCTGTCAGCGTTTTGCTTACTTACTTAAGACACTGCTCTATAACTACAAGTTACATGCACACATACACATAAAATGTAGTATCATCCAAAAAGGATCACTCTAAAAGGTTAAACTTTTTCCATGCCACTCCCACTCCACTGCCGTCACCAGCACCACCCTCTCTTCCCCCACCATCTCCCCTTCGAAGAGCTTCACGTCAGCTCTGCGAGCTTCCTGGAGCATCTACGCACTGATGGCTCATCCTAGCCCACATTCAGCCCTGCCATCAATCACTGGGGTGACGCCACAAAGAATTACACACAAATAATTTTGAGTCAAAGGCAGCTTCAGCAAGGATCATTACAACCAGAAAACACCCCTTTTAATAACCTATATTCTTAAAAAACAAGAATTGTGGGTAAACTAGGGCATAGCTGCCAAGCTAGGATGCAAACGCAGAGCAGCATGTGCTAGAATGCTTCTTTGGAGAGAGAATGCATGAGGTCTTTAACAGGTTCTATATCAAACTGCCTCAATCAAACTGCCCTGCGTTGGACCTAACCCCATGGGGTGTGCCCTCATTAAAATGGCAAAGTTGGCCGGGTGCAGTGGCTCATGCCTGCAATCCTAGCACTTCAGGAGGCCATGGTGGGAGGATTGCTTTAGTCCAGACCAGCCTAGATGAGTCCAGACCAACCAGACTCCATGCTGGGCACTTTGACATACACCCCCATTAAGCCTCATTATATCTCTTCATCATGAGGCTGAGGGAAACTGAGAGGTTCGGCCCCTTTCCTGGAGTTGCACCAATAGAAGTAAGTGGCTTGCTCTGAGTACAGAACATGGGACAGGGGCTGCGGTCCCATGGAGCCACAGGCAGGATGTTATAGGAGTCCAGACTCGGGAATGGAAGGAGGATGCGAGATGGCATCTGCTGGGAGCCCCGATCTCATGGAGGGTTTGCCCCTGCCTGGTGCCTTAGGAATGGAGCTGGAGTCCCCTACTGGGTGCTGCCGAAGACCTCAAAGGTGAGTAGTTGTTCATCTGGCTAAAAATGACCTGAGGAACTCTGGCTTCTTTTGAGACAGGGTCTTCTTCTGTTGCCCAGGTGGGAGTATAGTGGCAAAATCTTGGCTCACTGCAACCTTCGCCTCCTAGGCTCAAACAATCCTCCTGCCTCAGCCTCCCAAGTAGTTGAGACCACAGGCAAGTGCCACCATGCCAGGCTAATTTTCTTGTAGTTTTAGTAGAGATGGGGTCTCTACTAATTCAAGAAGGAATCAGGAGAAGGTGCTCAAAGACAGGAATGCCAAAAAAACAAACAAAAACCAGACAAACAATAAGAGGGCCACAGTATCTGTACCCCAAGTTCCCGAATATACAGGGTACCAATTCGAGAGGCCTCCAAAGCCAGGGCAGCCCCAGACTTGCTCCCAGCCACCTTCCTGCACTCTGCAGCACAATGTGCTGATGTGTCGCTGCTCATGGCCCTGCCTGTGTGGGGTCACGGGGGCAGCCCACACAGCTGCTCTTCAGTGTCTGGCCTGCCCTCCTGAACCAGGAGAAGCCACAACAGGGGTTTCTCTTTTGCTTGTGACCTTCCCCCAATCCTGCCTACAAGATAACTGATGTCTGATAACCCTTCACTCCTTAAAGATGCTCCAAGTATTGTATTATTCCGGCTAAAATAGGCCCCCAGGATGCTGCGTACCCAGCCACATTCTTCTTGACTCCACATAATACCTTTGACAAGGTTTTGTCATCAAGGGCCAACAGGCAAACAGCCACTGGGGGAATGTCTCCATGCTTGCTGTAACCCTGTCATGTAGACCAGGGTTCTTTATGCTGCTTCCAGCTCCAAAACAAAGATTTCTGGGTATGTGATCAGAAATAATTTTGTCTCTACTAGTAATCTGGTAAGCTCTCTTCTACTAAGCAATGAAAGCCAGGTGACCCAGCCTGCTTCCCTTTTTGCCCTGCCTACTAGGAAGTTCCAAGTAAAGTTTTATGCCTCAAATGCTACCTTTCTTCACTCAGAAATTGCTCATAGAACTACTTTTTCTCCCTCTTCTCCCCACTTACTTCTTGGCCCCTACCTCTGGTTAACTGTACGTGATATCCTTGTATTTGGACTATCATGGTGCCCTGCCAGTTTTTTTCCTAATATAGGTGAAACATAAGCAGGTCAACTGTGAGGAAGATTTAATACAGCATTGCCCACACCTACCAACTTGAAAGCACACACCATGCCCCCACTGAGGCTGGCTGGGGACCACCCAGCAGTGCCCTCACTCCCTTTCTACCCCCTGACCCCAGCCGTGAGCCCCTGTGCTTCAGCTCCGCTTACCTGTCATGATCCTCTGCGCCTCATAGGGCTCCATGTAGCCAGCACTCTCCCCCTTTCCTGCTTTGCTCTTGAGATCATTCTTGGCATCAAAGGGATCTGAGTAGTCATCGGCTATGGTCACCTGCAGGGAGGAAGACGGCAGGTGTGAGTCCACCTTTGGCTTCTTTGTTTCACATCTCTTCACAGCTATGCTTTGGGCCTCAGCTAGATGAGCAAGGAGAGGCAGGGGAGGCAGGAACCGAAGCCGGTGCCCGGACTCAGGGAGCTCCACGTCTCACAGGGGTAAGGAATGGGACCCACACTGGCAGGGTTCCACTGCGAGGAAGAGCCCTCTGGGCTCGTGCATGTCTCGCCGGCTCTGGGCACAGTGAGGTGAGAACAGAAGGGCATCTGAAACGCACACTAAGCATGGAGGTGAGAACCTGGAGGGCATCCTCAGGGAATGTGAGTTGCTTGGTTTAATGCAATGGAAGTGGAGGAAAAGTTGGAAACAAGATCACAGAAAGCCTAGAAATGCTGACAAGCCCCTGGTGCTGGCTGAGGCACAGAAGAGCTTGTCTAGAGATAATTGGCTCGGCGTTCCATTTCCCCAGACCTGGAACACAACCACGCCTTGGGTCATCAGACAACAATCTGGTGAGATCAATGTACTACAAAGATCACTGTGGCCACAGACAGGCCAAATAAAAACACAAAAGCAGCTCAAGGATCGACAGACAGCCAGGGCCAGAAAGGACACTGAAAGCAACAGACCCAAAGACCCCTCGACAACACATGGGTAAACTGAGGTCCAGTGTGAGCAGAGGCTTGGCCAGATCTTCCACCTCCCAGGGCCCTGCCTGAGCTCCCCGCTTGTCTGTATTCCAGAACACAGCCCCTGCCTCTTCTCCCCAGAGAAAAATTCTACAACTCACAGACAAAGAGTGAGTCACCTGGGGGTGGGGGGGACTCCCATGAGAACCTTAGTATCTGGGATTCTAACACTTCAGAGACCACCGTTCCAAGTTTTCCCTGGAGAAGAGCAAAAATTCTCGATTGGAGGCTCCAATTAAACATGGCAAGTGTTCCTCCCTTTTTACTTCCTAACCTTTAGGAGGGGCACAGAACCCACCGAATCCACGCCCCTCCTACTTAGCCCCGCTTCATCACAAACTTGCCCTGGGACTTCCCTCTTGCCCTCTTTGGTCACATATCTGGCAAAGGCCAAGCCCTCAGCTCCTCAGCCAGTGCCACCAGCTGCTTCTCTTGGGAGCGGTAGGTTAGCGTTCCTCTCAACCCTTGGGGTTACATGAATTGTTATTTAAATTGTGGGTTTAATTAGAAACCACAGGAGCCTGCTCTCTCTCTCTCTCAGCTTCTGGAATGTAAGGCATTTGAGGGGCCTGCAAACTCAGGGGAAGGGAAAATCCCCCTTTGTCTGCCTGGTAAATGGCAGCTTGTGGAAGCCGTCCTGCCAGGGTGAGCGAGTGACCACCAGCTGCCAGGAATGTGATGCCTGAGAAGGGACAGCAGGCGGCAGCTATGTCCCTGGCAAGTGGCTGGAGGCCAACAGGAGGTATAGCACACAGCGGTCACTGCTCCCCAAACAAGAGAAGGTCATCAGTGAAGACCAAAGCCCAGAGTGCCCAGCACTGGAGCATCTATGGCTCCCACTGCCCCTACTCCACCGCTTTCTCCGCGGCTGTGGCTCAGTCTCTGAGTCCCAGGGGGAACCCAGTGGGGGTGGCTTCCAGATGCTGACATTGTAATGGCAGCCTTTCTTGAGACTCACTGAGCTCAAATGACACCAGGCCAGGGAAAGAAGGGGTGGGAGAGAGCTAGGCCTTGCAAAGTCTTTCATTTGCTATTTCTACTCTACCATTTGCAGAATACATTAGAGAAAATTATACACGTAAACTGCTGTCAAACAGAATGGTTCAAATGCTGGTCAGGTGCAGGGTTTTATGTCTCAGAGTTCAAGGGGCCAGACATCCAAATGGAGAAAATGATGTAGCTGCTACGGAGGACATCTAATTTCATTTCTCTTGTCCCAGACTTCCTCACTGTCTCTCTTCAACATGAACATGCTCCATCTATTCTGCAATAAGGAAGGGAAAAAATATTTCCTCTGCAAAACAAAATCATTTAGGGGGATTTGCTGGTGGGGTGGGAGGGGCAGGTGGGTTGCAGTCTCCATAGTAATCTAGAAATCGCCCTTCCAGCTCTCAGAAGTGCTCTGTAATTTGCAAACACAGAGGTTTGCAAGATATAAACCAAATCTTTGTTTGCCCCTGGGACAGGAGTTCTGGAAGGCCTGTGATTCAGCAAGTACTACCTGTATTTTCTAATGAAAATGAGATCTGAGCTCAGGCTGTCATGGAGCCGGAGCTGCCTGCTCCACTTACTTCCGTTTCAATAAGAATGTACAAATCCTAAAACCAGGAAAAGCCCCTGGTCTCTGCTGACATATGGTTCCAGTTATACCTGCTGACAGTTGAAAATCCTTCCATTAAAAAAAAAAAAAAGTCTAGAATTCTGTTAGTTTAAGAAGCAAATCGGAAAGTTCCTAAAATGTATATTTAATCAATTTGCTTTTGAACTTCAAAGTGAGGTTGGTGGAGGGAAAGAAATTTGAGGTTTGAGCAACCTGAAACCTGGCAAACACTATACTGAACTGTCTGACCTTTCGCAAAATCATGTCCTAGTTTTGGGAATAAAAATTCAACCAGGTGTTAGGAGAGTTGAGCAGGCAGTCAACCAGAATGCCCTGTGAAGTACCACAGGCCCCAGCCACCAGGACTGGGCAGTATGACCACTGTCCACGCTGCCCAGGGCTCACCACCAGTCCAGATGGCCCGGCAGAAGGTTTGTGTGAAGGGTGCTGCTTTTTTGAGCTAAAAGAAAGGGAATGAGTTTTCTCCAGATGTGGGGTTGGATTTCTGATGGGATTGCTTTTGCTTTGCTTTAAAAACTTCCCAGTTAGCGGACAACTCCTGTATATGTAACTGAACAATTCAACCAAAAGGCAGCCAGCCAGGACTCCTCTGCGGGTCAGGCCACCTGGGTCCACAAGAAGCTTTCCTTTGATTTTAGTCTCAGATTGGCAGAGACCTGGCAGCCACAGAGGCAGAGCTGAGCAGTAGCAGAAAAAAAGGCTGCAGAGTGCGACTGCTTAGCCAGTGAGCCACGTCTTCTTTTGTTTGCTTGGCCTCTTGGGAAGAGTGTGAAACCCCTGGCAAGCATCTTTCTTGCTTTCAGACAAAACTACAGACCCCAGGTCAGCCCAAAGCCCCTAAAGGGCTTCCATAAGTTTGTCCTCCTGGAGACCTGATCTAGTCTCCCCTTGTTTTCCACAGGGCCCACTGCAGCCCAGAGGGCAGGGCGTTGTCATAGTCACCTAGCAAACCAGCAGTGGCCTGGGGATGGCCTCTCCATGCCTCCTCTCTGGAACGCACACACTGCTGGGGCCCCTGTGTTTTTATCTTAGGAACTTCACTTTGTGATAGGAAGTAGTCTGCAGCTGTTCATCCCCAAAGGAAAGGACTAGAGGAAGGTGGGTGTTGCCCCTTGGTCACACTTCCCTATGGACTGGTGAGAGTTTTAGTTTCTTTTGTGGGACAGCTGCACTTGTGAGCAGAATTAGGTCCTCTCCACATGCTTTCAGGGGAAATATACTTTGGTGGAGACACTTACAAGGGTAACTTTGGGCAGAATCCATTAAAATCCCCAAATGCACCTAGTTTGACCCAGCAATTTTACTTCTCAGTATTTATTCCCAAATGTGCACAAGGGTCCACGGGCAAGGATGCTGCCTGAATAATGAGAAACGACCCGAAACTACTACATCCATCAATAGGGGAACCGCTAAATACATTGTGCTATTTCCATACGATGTAACATTATGCAGCAGGCTGAAAAAAAAAAAAGCAGTTGCTCTGTGGGAGCTGGCATAGCACTCCATGACATAGTTCTGAATGGAAAGCAAGCAAGCTGTAGAATAACTACAACATGATACCTACTTATGAAAAACAAAACAGAAACCTGTATCTCTATTAAGTTAAAGAAAGAGTCTGGGAGATGCACACTCCAAACTCACCCCTCTTTGGGGAGGAGGGAAGGACTTGGAATGGGGTGCTTAGGGGAAGTCAAAAGAGACCTACTTCTCTGTAATGTTAAAACATTTTCAAACAAGAAGAACCTATTCATGTACTATATGCAAAACTAAACTTGCTCAAAAGCACTCCTCTTCCACAGGCTATTTTTGGTACAGTAGACAGACAGTTTCCCAAACTTGCCTGAAGACAGGAATGGCTTGGAACGCTTGTTAAGGAAACAGATTCCTAGCTCCAGTAATCTGTATTTTAACAAGCAAGCCAGGTGATCCTTATCAGGAAAGCTTGGGAAACAATAAGCTAGAGCTAGCACCCTTCCCCACCAGTCTAGAGGCAAGCCTCCGGATATTACTCTGGAATTTCACTTTTCCCAGGTATTGCTCAGCCCTGTTCACTGAAGTGAAGCAAGAAGTTTGTGCTAACTGCAGCTCTTTTGCTTTCTTCCCTGGGGGTCAACTGGAGAAAGAGAGGACCCAACGTGCCATCTCCAGGATCTAAGACGTGGAGGAAATGGCAACCTCTCTGCAATCATGTGGGCTGGCTCCAGATTGAGCAATTCGGCCTGTGCAGGGGGAGAGGGCTATCAAAATCTCACAAATCACCACTAAAGAACTTAGTCATGTAACCAAACATCATCTGTTCCCCAATAACCTATGGAAATAAAAATTTAACCAAATGAAAAAAAAAGACTTCTGCCCTGCCACCACCCCGAAAGGGAGGGGGTGAGGGGGTGGCCCAACAGGGATCCTAGCCCTGAGGGTGTGCAAGGCAAGGCTCTCTGTTTGAAACCCACAGCAGCTTTCAGGCCAAGGCCACTTTACTCTCAGCAAACTCACTCTAGGAAGATCACCTGGCTCCAGGAAGGGCTGGTGGCACTGCCAAGAGGAGCCACTGCAGAAATGCAAAGGGAATCTCTGCTGAAATTGTTCAAACCTGCTAAAAAGAATGATGAGGCATGGCCAGGCGTGGTGGCTCACACCTGTAATCCCAGCATTTTGGGAGGCCAAGGCAGGCAGATTACCTGAGGTCA